ATAAATAATAATAATTAATTACAGAAAGAATTTGTCTTAACCGCCACGCTTAGAAACTTGGACGCCACTCCCGAGAGGATATTTTATACCCATTTTAAAAGAGTATATAAGTTATACTTACACCTAACGGAAGCCATAAGATCTTTCTGGCATATTCCATAGCCGCCTCTTGTGAGACCCACAGGACGAAATGGATTCTCTTACGCCGCACTTACACTTTTACTATGCAGTAAAAACACATCAGTAAATTCAAATCCGAGTTAATCACAAATCTGTTTCAATAAGGCTACGAGTAGACTCAATTTATTTCTTTTACCAAGTTACTAGAAGTTATGCTTTTAGGTTTCTGTAGGTTCTGTACCTCAAAAAGAAAAAACTGAACGCTTCTATGATGACTGTAGTCCGTCTATCATGGTTCTTTTTCTCAGTAACGGCACGGAATAAATAATATGGTAATGGCAAAGGCAAAGGGATATAGAGTATAAATTACTGTGTAGTTGGCTGTGTAAAAATATATTCTACTCTATACCATCCAATGGATGTCATAATAGACCACAGAGTGCAATTAAACCAGGTGATGGCTAGCAGCTAAATGATATCAGGAAGAGATGGCAACTCAAAATAATAAAAAACTACGGTTCCCAACCCACCGGTCAAACGTGGCAACTATGGCAATATCCTCCCTGTAAAGTGAACTGTGGCGGAGGCCTATGTTCAAAAGTGGACTTTTATAGGATGTAATGGGTGGATCGAGTATTCACTAACATCAAATACTAAGATAACTTGGGGACTTAGAAGTAACTAGGCAACCGAAAGACGTCTGCACTTCGTACTGATTTTACCTATAAAAAATTGACATTCAACGAAATAATGATGCAGTATTTTTATAGTGTAAGGGCGACAAGCTAGCACGCAGTCCACCTAATGATAAGTGGATGCTGTGGCCCATAGACCATTTAACCTTCGATTAAAAATTTAAATACAAATGAGTTGTCACTTGTCAGCTTGTCACCCCCTGAGAACAAAGATGGAATAGCTCGTATTTACTAAAGGGTTTCCAGTTCTCTACACTCACCATACGAAACACAGCAGCATTCAAGTGGTATTTTACGCTGGTATCCCATAAAAGCTTGGTCCTATCTCAGTCGAGCCGACCCATTCATGCTACGATAATATAGCTGTAATGTGGCTCGGCCACGTATTCCCTTTCATTCCCCAATATCCTCCAGATATCTTCTTAAGTAGTTCTGCCGATAAGCAGCTAAACAGCAATGTACCCACAGCTGTGTTCGTGGCTGGGGTTAGGCGGGCGGCCGGCTGACCTCTCAACAGATCGACTAATTGCTAGTTTGTCACTTCAACGTTAAAAAATAGGGCTGTTAAAATAAAACCACATAAAAGTCGAACTCTTCATAAAATAAGTGCTTTATTGATTTTGTATGCAGTACAGGTTCATAAATTTAAATTAAATTGTACGTGTTTTGTTAAACAAAAAAAGAAAAGCTAAACCTATTTCAAATGCCAACCCAGAAACATATTTACAATTTTATAACTAAATAATAAACTATCCAAAAACATACTAATATTTTTTTTTTCAAAAAAAAAAAATAACAGCTACCATAGTATTGCTCGGATTAAGTTGGTTGTGGAAAGAGGTGACTTTATAGAGAACAAACATAACAACATGTTTGTTATTCCTCTTGCTCTCTCTAGTTAGTATGGAATAGCATGTTTCCTTACTATCAATGAATATCACCTCCACACGCACCAAGACATTCCATTCCAATGTGCCCAGGAAAATTCAACCTGGGCACATTTTAGAATCACCGACTCGACGTAGACTAGTGAGAAAATATTATGCCTTCAATTTAAGCAAGCGAAATGGTTTAACAATAGCGTCAGCCACAACTTTTCAGCGACTTTACAATGAGGTGAAATATTTGAGAGATTTCATAGCGGGGAAGTTGATTTGTTAGAAAAATGTAAGAGTTAATGTTTGTAAAACCTGTATCAGTTAAATCCATATTAATTCGATTAACCCAAACTATATTCCAAAAATTAAAAAAATAGTTAAATCGAAAAATTAAAAAAATAAAGAGCAAATCACTGGGAAATAGTTTTGTGTATTAATATTTCTCTAGAAACTGATCAACTTGTATTTAAAATTAACGTCTCAATTAAATGATATTGTGTAACAAGAACCTTCACCTCAGTTCCAACCGGCGACATTTGGTAAGCGGTAGATCATCAGTCCTCACTGATAGACTCAATTACGATATAACATTAACTATAACAGCATGTTGTCTTCGCACTGGTCTACAATTCCCGAAACTTGGCGTTATCTTGACCTGCAAATTTACTTATCTAGAAGGCAAAAAATCTATACTCTGAAAACACTGGAGCCTATATACCCACGCAAAATTCGAAATAGCACTTCCTTCTATTTACAATTACAACCGAATTACAATAAATATAAGAACCTTATACTCTCTGTACAGTGTCGTATAATATCTGTTTCATTATTTTCATAGAACCTTTGTATTATCAATTATGACTCTTCAACTTACATCAGTAATTACTTGGCATATCAATTGCAATTGCTACGACCAATAAAATGGCGCATGTTGCGAACTAAAATTAATAATTTTGCTTACGTAATCCTCTTGCCAATATTAAGGAATTTATAATATTCCGGTTAGACTGATCCGGCAGTCTAAAGCGAATATTTTGACTGAACAATTATTTCATATAGAATTATTGTTAAAATTAACGTTCATCAAACAATAACGGCAGGTTTAATGCTAAATTAAGAATTATTTTTGTTACAAAAAACATGATCAAAATGAATTTAACTATGTATAAATAATATCTATTGGTAAGTAATTAGGTGTATGAGCCATTCCCTCGATTGATACCTATGTGTTTGGTACACACAGGTTAAGTATAAGCAAAAAAGGTCATTGTTAGAAAGATGCTGACCTAAATAGCTATGGTGGTCAATTTCTACTGGCACTCATTAAAAGAGGTTGGTAATGAGATCATTACGATTCATTACTCCAACTTTTTGATATTTAATTTAATGCTCATGCCTCCTAACAATGATATTTGCATAAATTCTTAAAAAAATGAAGCGATGTTAGTGTATCGTTAAATGAAAACAAACTAATACGTTATACTGTCGCTATACTTTCATTCAACAATAATTTTAACATCGGTCCTTCAAACCGGATTCTACTTGAGTCGAGAATAAAAGCAGAAGGCGCAAATTCGGAGTAATCGAGTACAACTCCTTCACATACAAACATTTCTGTGTTATGACACTTAAAACTATGTAGCGATAGGCTAACCAGGCACATCAATACATAGTTTAAACATGGAAAGGAATTAATATCATAAGTTATTTGAAAAACAAACATCAAATTATAGATGTCTTGCAAGAAACAGTCCGTTGTTGGTCGGATACAAAATTAAGTGAATAACAATTACGCCGCAACATTACTTTAGGTATTATGATAATATTTTTGTTTATACATGTAAAGAAGAAACCGTTTTTGATACACATTCCATAACGTTAGTATAAAGTGCTAAATACACAAACAGAGAATAGTTAAATGAGCAATATAACTGATTAAAAATTACGAAACGCTAATGTAGTATCTACATTATGTGAAAATATTGTTAATACACACCCCGTCTCATTTCGGACTGTCATTCACCACTCACGATTTGTGAATCCTAAGTACGATTGCAGAGCATTTAACATTCTGTGTTCTCTTGTTTCAATTAGAACCTATTGTGCAGATGTTTCAACCCACAAACAAAGTTATTCAGATTTGAAAGATAAATTATTCTTTCTTGTGGCAGAATCCCCCTCATATTATGCATTGAAGAAAGGAAACTTGTATGTAGATTTTGGGATTTCTTGTTAGAAATTCCTTTAGAAATTATTCGTATTTGAAAATAATCTAAAAAAATTGCCCCTGGATCATTATTTTGACCAGTTTGTGGGTTGGCTCATTTCTATGCAACACAGTCCAATTACAAATGTCACTATGGTAAAGACAATTCAGTAATCATTAAGCTTTAAACAATAAAAAACAATTATTTTAAAAAATAATTATGAAATGTGTACCTGAATCTAAAATCTTACCGAGAAACTAAAAGATGGATTGCCTTGCCATACGTCACTGCCTGGATGTGTTGCTATTTATTACAAATTCTTCTAGACAAATTAAATCATAGTAGAGTACTGCGGTTCTACTTCTAACACAACAAACATACTTACATGCGTGTTTTGTTTGCGCCAGGATTTTACAAAAATATCACTTTTAAATAAATAAATAAACAATTTGAAAATATAATACATTTATAGTCTTTCTTTATTATTTAATGTACGTTACTTAACAAAGATTGTGTAAAACGACTTAAGATAAAAAAATTAACAAAAATTTTCCACATATTATATATAACATATTACATTTTCAAAGAAAAATTTGGAATAATGTTTTAGCTGTGATTAATGTTTACACCATTGTATCGTATCAATGATTTGAATTTTAACTATTCATAATTGTTTAGAAATATAATCAATGTTCAGAACTAGAGGTGAGCAAAACTTCGATTACAATAATAGAAATCATCTATTACACTAATAAGTAATTGACAGCAACAAAAAACAAAGATAATATACTTTTTTTAATTTCCCATATAATTTTCTCATATGAAATAAACTGATTTAAGTTAATTTTTATATATTTATAAGTATACACAAACATTTGTGTACATTTGATAACACTGTATATGGTAAATTTTCTAATTTCTTGACGACAATTGTCAGTTATTTGGTTGATTTTCATTCAATTATAACTCTCTAATTGACAAACGCCCGTGCCGGGTTTCAACTGAGAATTTACAAGTTGAAGCTGAGATCTGCGTTGGAGCAAGTGATGTGATAGTTCCTGAAGTAAACTAAACATTGTAAGGCGAGGACTGACAGCTGGCTACTCGTCGTCACTGTCGGGGTCGCTGGAGAACTCTGCAGTCTGCAGCCGAGGCGGAAAGGGACCTCGGCTTTGTTGCCTGCACGGGTTGTTAGATACTTATTCTAAAATGCTAATAATATCAGTGTTCGACCGAAGCGTAGGCTTCGGTTTTAGTTTCGGCCATCTGCGGTCAAACAAACCACTTTCGGTGAAACCTTCGATTTTTTTTTGGCAGAAACCGAAGTCAAGCGCCGAAATTTAATGAACTGTTACGAACGAGCGAGAGCGCGACGGACGTAGCAACGCGATTTTTATCATCTTTAGATCAACTTCCGGAGGTGATTAAAACTACATTTTTATATTATGCAGTCAATACAAACCTTAAAGTCTTATAGTCATTGATATTATTAATTTTAGTCATTCTTGAATTGAATTTCTAAAGGTTTTAGGCCTTTGGATAGCCGATGAATTGACACTGACTTCGGCTTCGCGGCCACAAATTGACCTTCGGTCGGACGCTATTAACACATCATCGATCACTAATAAAAAACTACATGTACACAATCAGTGACAAAAAACGACCTCACCGAATGAGCACCCATTCGAACATTTGGGTGCGCTTTTAATCTAGTTACATTCGAACGCTCCGACGGTAAACATGCCTCAGTGCTCGTTTAAAAAGTGTAAAAATCACACATCCAGGACGCTAAAAAAAGGATGGAATTTCCTAATTTCGGTAAGTATTAATATTATCATTATTTAATTGTTATCACTGTATTGTAAATACTTATATTTTGTCAAAAATCTCTGTAAAACATGTTTTAAATTAAGTCTTAATAAAATAAGCCATAATTGTTCGAGGTATGTGCGTTGACTCTGTTCCATTTGTTGGAGACGTTATTATTTTTTCATTATTAAAGTATGATTGGTTTTTTTTTGTTTAATGAGACCTCTTTATAGTTTCTCTAAATATTATAGTAACATTTTATGGACTTAATTTTGAATATGTGCATGTAGTAAAATTAAAGATGTGAAATTTTATTTTTAATTTTTCAGCTTTCCTCGTGGATCACGAGAAAAGCTGAAGAATTAGGTGTGCAGAATGGATATCAGTCATAGCATGTCAAAGTCCGAAGAATTCTTCAAGCCGACCCAAGGAAGCGTTGTATGTTCGAAGCATGTTTTAGAAAGTGATGAATAAGTGACTACGACTCACAACTTTCTGAACATACTTTTTTATATTTAGTAACTATTGAATGTAGATTTAAGTTCTTTGTCAAGCAATATTTTTAAATTCTTGACACAAGATGAGGAATAAATAAATAATTATGACTGTTTCAAATACTTTCGTTACTAAATGAATGTGATCTCCTATACAAAAACGTATTTACATTTAGGTAAATTATAACCATTACTCATAATACACCATAGAATAGAACAGAATATGCTTTATGTACACCAGTTTTTAAAACAAGTTTGAAACATTTTAAAATTGAAATAACAGTAACAAAAAATATTGGGCAGTTCGATTCCAATGATTCCTTGTCCAAGCTACGAGCCTCGGTCGTAAAATTTGATTGCTTTTTATTAGCACTTTGTAGTTCTGACTTTAAAACACGCGTGTAAGGTTGAATTTGTTTTGATATAGGTTGACCAGCCAGTATCAGTCATAAAAATTATTGCTTTTCGTACGTATCTTTGTGAATATAACTATAGGCAATGTATTTAAGGTTGAATTTACATAAATGTATATTTATTTCAACTAGAATTACGTCACAATAGTTGGCGACAGTTTTTACATAGTATAAAGCTTTATACTATGGTTTTTAGAGAACTTTTGTATGGGATTGTGCATCTAGTTCTTTATTAGTGATCGATGTAACACGGTTATGAATATGATACAATTCAATGACATACTGAAACTAAAATAAACATGAAATTAATGTTCGGGCACGACAATAATGTGGGTGCAAGTATTTGATGGCCTACAAATAATTGTTCCGGGTCTGGACGTATGTCATTTTACAATTCCTAATGTAACGTATTATATATGAAAAAAATAAAGCGTGAGTGCAAATACAAGCCGTGAGACATCCCTGTTCCATCCATCACATGGGTGTTGTAAACGACAACTCCGGGTAATGCCAGGAAAATACCATGGCTACAAATAGATGCAGGTAATGCTAGGAAAATACCATGGCTACAAATAGAACCAGAGATGTGACATTTTGAAAATAACAGTATTTGAAATGCAAAATACAAAATACCTATTTCCATTTTGTATTTAAATACTTTTTTAGAAAAACATTTTATATTTTATTTGAAATACCTTTTAGGACATATTTTGTATTTTCAAAATGCAAAATACTTTTTTATCGTATTTTTAAAAAGTTATGTAAACATCAAAGAATTAATAATTAATATGATGAAAAATTGTACTTTCTTTTCTCACTATGGCAACACTAAATTGAACTGCTTTCAAACCACTTGTCAAAGCCCACACTGCCACATATAGTGGTTGAACCGAACGAACGAATGATCTCTTTTTACACAAAGTTATCTTCGTTTCCGGAGAGGAATATAGGAACGGAGGGAGATAAAGAAACATTTTATGGATGCCGACTACCTGAGTTAATGAGAATACAAAAAATACTGTGGAGTACTGATAGAGACAATAAAAAAAAGCTTAGAATAGAGATTTGGAAAATTTCATTATTTTAAGGATCCTGAAGCTAAAGATGCAATTTTGGCATCGGTGTCATATCTACGATCTATATTTATATACTTATTAAAGAAACGAATCCTACTACATGTTACTAGCCAGTGATAGTGCAAATGCAAACAACACTATTGACCTGGAATCATTGCAATATTTAAAGGATAGTGATGTCAGCCCGCAATCATTAAATAAATACTCTACAGTAAAGATGTTATTCTTGAAATATAATTCCTGCTTGCCTAGCTCTGCGCCGGTAGAAAGGCTTTTTTCTTATAGTGGCATAATTTTAAGACCAAACAGGAGAAAGATGAGCGACAGTGTATTTGAGCAAATTATTTTATTAAAATCTGTTAAGTAAATTTAATTTAAGTAAGTAATCAATTTAAATTTACCAGCCTGTTAGCTGGTTGAAATAAATAAACTTAAAAAATAAAGAAAGAAAGTTTAAAACAAAAAAAGTATTTTATTTTAATAAAGCATTTTGTAAATACGTATTTTGCATTTATTATTTTAAATATAAAATGAAAAACTATTTTGTATTTGAAATACCAAAATACAAAAAGTATTTGCATTTTGCATTTAAATACATTTTATAACCTATTTTGCACATCTCTGGGTATAACCATCTTGTTAAAGCTAGAAGTAAAACGTGACGAATTTGTTGAAATGGTTAATAATAATAATAATAATAATTTATTAGACACTCGGGCCAAATACTCAAAAGTTTAAGATATCGTTAAGCCTCGTGGTGTCACTTTCACTTAAAGTGATCGTATGTGTGCGTATGTGTACGTGCACAAGTGTGTACGTGTGTGCGTGCGTGTACTCACGCCAGACGCCGGTAGTGGTTGAGCCACTCCTCCAGCATCTGCGCCTGCAGCAGCGGCCGCGCGTGCAGGCGCTGTCTCGCCACGAGAATACCTCCCCCCACCTCCACGCCCACTCCAACACCTCCACCCACGACACACGCAGACACGTAGCGCCGAACCATGCTCTCCGCGTCCGCCACCTGCCATCGAGAGACAACGCAAGATTTCAATGCCAGAATTTTCTACACTTAGTTATTCGGGACCGGTATGTACTCAAATATTCTAAATGTTTCAGTAGAGGGTCAGTATTAAAATGGCGATTCAAGCGAATACTTCGGAGCGATACAATTGCGAACTAAAGTGATCAGTAGTACAATTATGTTTTATTTAGTGTGTTTTAAGTTGTAATTGATGATCTGTAATTAAAGTGTTAATTTTGGTAATTCAATCGGCAGTTTTTATTGTCACAAACCGCAAGCCCGAAATAATAATAATAGTACCTTTATTTAGGTACTTAAAATAATAAAATCGATTTTTGTGTATATCTGTCAGCAGACTCACCTCATCGCAAGTGAGGAAATGCACTGGAAGTAGTTTCCCTTCGGAATCCGTTAACGGCAGAAACGTAATCTCCTCACTCTCTTCTTGTTGCTCTCTACAACAGTGTTCAAAAATTCTCAAGTGAAATTTGATAGTAATTAAAACAGACAATATTCAAAAAACTTATAACTATAAGATAAAATTTATATAGTATAAAATTTGACATGTAATTATTTTGATATTATTTTATAACTTACATTGTAAAGAATCAAAAGAACAATTTTTAGATCATTTAGCTACCTACACAGCAGATTTATTGGTAAATGTTATCGTTATTAACATATAGAAGGAATAGTTTAGGACCATATCAGGATTTCTAAGGTAGCCAAATATATTATAAATTAATCATTACACTTTCGAATAGTTTACGGATTAAATTGGTGTTTTCGTGAGTTTCACCCAGTGACCGCAATTGCAAGTATAAATTATAAGTTATAAATAATTGGAAATAAAAAAGACGTTTTCTTAAAGAAAGAAAGAAAGAAAGAAAGAAAGAAAGGGGGATAAGTCGCTCGCGTCCGTAGGCTTCTACCACCTAATCCTTGGTCCACCCCACACGTGTCCCACGGGTGGTGCGAGTGACAAGCCGAAAGTAAAGACTCGGCTCCTCGCCGTGTGGTAGCGGCGTAAACTATACCGGCATTATATAGTTTCGCACCATGAGGCAGCGAAGAAAAGAAATGGCCTCGAGTTCCCGGCGCCCCTTTTATGGGGCAGGGGTACGAAGAATCTCCGGGTGGAAAACCGGCGACGAGGTTAGCCACCCGTTACGTTCTGTCTCCCGGAGGGCTGAAAAGTGGATTACAGAGGCCAGTCTGGCTACGTTGAATGTATGTGGAGCAATGAATGATAAAATGGATGAAGTATGCGATATGACGTATGATAGAGGAATAGATGTGTTATATGTAAATGAGACGCAACGGAAAGGAAAGGATGTCACTACATATGTCACATATACCGCATAATGGTCTGGTGTAGTCTAGATCGAGCGGGCACGCCAGGGAGTATGTGCCATCCTTTCAGAAAGAATGGGTCAAAGTGTGAAAGAGTATAAATGTGTAAGCTCGAGACTGCTATGGATACGATACGAATGAAAGTGGGCTTAAAGAAGTGATTTGTTCTAGGGGTCTACGCCCCAGACATGTCTAAGCCCACTTATATCCGAGAGCAGTTTTGGGAGATGGTAAGGATGGTGTTAATGAAGTGTAAGGGAAATGAAAATATTGTTATGCTAGGAGATTTTGGAGGGTTGTGGTGAAGAGGTTTGATTATGAAAGAATATTGGAAACGTTTGGTGATGAAAGTATAAATGAGAACAGTGAAAGCTTCCTCACCATATGTGTGGAAAAGAATCTTTTTGTGATGAATCTTTTTTCGTCATAAAAGGATTCACACGCATACTTGAGAAAGAGATGATAAAAGAGAAAAATAATGAGGAGCGCAGTGGTAGATACAAGGGTCTACCGGGGGTCCTACGTAGGAACAGATCATTATTTGGTTTTATGCCGAATTAATGGTCTATTCAGACGTTGGCGGCATCGAACATCTGTGTCTACCACTGCGTTACAGTGTATTAGAACAGACAGGTTACAAGATGAAGACGAGAAAACAAGTACAAATATAGACTGAAAGAAAATATAAGTGGTTTGGATGAATTCTGTATGAATGAGTTAGACTTGGAGAACGTGTGGTAAAATGTTAAGAAAGGTTTAGTGGATGTAGCTATCGAAGTATGTGGTGTTAGTAAGAGAACGAATGAAAGGAAAAATAATATGATATGGTGGGATGATGAGGTACGTATGAAAGTTGAAGCAAAGAAGATAGCATGGCTAGATTTACTAGCAACAAAGGCTGGTAATTCTAGCAGTACGAATGATGATATTGAAAGTAAAAAGGCAGTCTTTAGACATCTAAATAAGAGAGAAAAAGAAGTAGTTGAAAGGAAAAAAACAAGAAAGAAGGGACAAAAATGATAAAAGAATATCGGATAACTTCCAGGCAAATATTAAAATGTTCTGTAAAATGGAATGGAAGGTGGAGGAGGCGAGAAAGGTGTGTCATGATCGTACCAAATGGAAGTCTGTAGTCTCTGCCTACCCCTCCGGGTGACAGGCGTGAGTTTATGTATGAAATGTAAAGAAAAAACGAAGACTCACCTGCAAATATAAGTATGTCTGTGAGAATAAGGCTCGATTGGCACTAACGCGGAGAAGTGTCCGCGCGTGTAGCCCAGGCACAGTGGCGACTTTGAACAGAACTCCGGCTCCCAAAGTAGCGGTAAGTAAATGCCTGGAAGCAAAACAATTCTTTCGATATTCGTGATCCAATAATAAATGAAATATATATGGGAACTAACATTGAAATTGAAGCATAATAATTTGATTGAAGTATAACAGCAAAGTAAAGGTTAAATAAAAAAATAAAAGCAAGTAAAAATTTTAAGAGCCTAGAAGACTGCAATGCAGTGGACAATATGAATGACAAGCTCATGGAAACTGTCCAGGCAGTCGGAGCTAAGTTCTGCAAGACACGCCGCAGAAGAACACAAAGACTGTCCGATCACACTCTTAATCTTCATGGCTGTTGGATGGGAAATGAAGCTGATGTCTTCAGCAGATTTGAAAGCATACACACAACTGAACAAGACTCTCCAAACGCATGCGGCGGGACTTGCGCAACTTCAATACAGCTCGTATAAAAGATGCGATCAAGCGGAACCTGGGCTCCAGTATTTGCCAGAGATCTGTCTGCCCGGAAAAGCCAACTGTTGAAACTGAAGACCGAGTGTGGCAGCATCGTTTCCGGGACAGCTGAGATTTTGACTGAGATTGAGAGGTTCTATGGCGCTGTTTAAATCATCGTTGGAGCCACACGCCAGTTGGAGTAACGATCCGAGAGCAAGTCTTATCCGACACTATTCCAAAATGGCCGTCAGTCTGATCTAATTGGATGATGAATTAAAAAATATATTTTTTAATCGGAAAAGCTACGCTACTTCAAAGTTACATTGTCCGTTCGATCTCGACCTATCAAGATCGCATTCTCTGAGCGGCCAGACTTTAGTTTCGACATAGCAAAGGCCTTCGATCGGGTCTGGCACAAAGCGCTTCTTTCGAAGCTCTTTTCCCACGGGCTTCTCGAAAAATCATGCGATTGGATTACTAGTTTTCTTGCTAATCGGAGCATCAAGGTCGTAGTAGACGGTACATGCTCTGATTACAAGCCTATTAACGCTGGTGTTCCACAAGGCTGCGTGCTATCACCAATGCTGTTTCTTCTGCAGATCAATGATATGTTGCAAACTGGTAACATTAATTGCTATGCAGAGGACAGCACTGGTGATGCCTTGCCAATATTTCTCGGTAAATCGTCGCCGAGTACCGCGACAAACTTATGTCTAAATCGAGTCTTTGCTTAACAAAATCTCGGATGGGGGGCGACTAATCTAGTCCAAAAGCTAGCTAAAAATAACCCCTTTGTCGTATCTCCTCAGTTTGAAGTTTCGCTGCTGCCTCAGTTAGCATCAGAATCCTCGGCGTCGACATATCGAATAGTGTGCAGTTTCGTGGTCACTTGGAGGTGAAGGCGAAATTGGCCTCTAAGAGGCTTGGCGTGCTTAGCAGAGCAAGACATATTTCATGCCGGCACATCGCTTGCAACTTTACAAAGCGCAAGTTCGGCCTCACATAGAATACTGTTCTCATCTCTGGACTACTTGTTTTCCTTAAATTTCACCGCATCCAGCGCGAGTTTTCTATAAAATTGGTCTCCTTTATAGATTTTTAGTACTTTTACCAGTAGTCCATATGGCAAGCATGCAGACATTTTTATCATCCAGAGATAGGATATATATTTTTTTACGTTTAGTGACGCATTGATACTTATATTTATTTCTCCCCATTCCGACTGGTAAGAAATCTCAGCTACAATCAAATATGTAATAATGTGCAATCTTTATACGCTACAGACTATAAACTATAAATCTTTAGCGCGCTATTAAATACGCTATGTTATAACGCGCTATTTATAAGACAGCGCGTGGGAGGCCGGCAAGGGCGTAAAGTTATGCAGCACTCTAAATTTCGTAGCACGTTACACTACGTGTCGTTCATTGGATAGACCGCGTGCAGTATAAGTACATTATTTCGTAACAAGTCGCATTTTAGACTAAAATAAAATAAAGCAGTAAAGAAACATTACAAACAACACGTACGGCAAAACGAAGAAGATTTTTACGAACATTTGTCATTGTCAACAGAAATATTTGATTACATCTGTAATCTAGTATATATACAGTAATTTATGATGGCAGGCCGTCGAGCCGAGCGCACGTCGTGGTACCCCTCTCTTGCCTCCGCCTCCTGGTCGCGCGAGCGCCGTTAGGAAATTCAGTACTGAATAGTATGCGACTATCGTCCGATCTATACGATGCCTCGATAACGCACAACGAAAACTAGACAATTCGGTCGCATCGCATGATCGCACGACCGTCTATAGGACATTCCGCAGATATGACTATGCATTAACGCACGGTCGCAAGATCATTTTCGTCGGACGCATGCATGATCGCGCGAGCGATGGCAATAGGACGGCGCCTTAGAGAAAACGAACTATTTTTATCAAGTAATTGTTATTTCAAGCAATGAATGAAAAACATACAATTTCAACGAGGAAACCTTGTAATTTCGCGTTTTTTTTTTTAAAAACCCTTTTTTTTTTAAACTCGTGTAGTAGTTTTTTCCCAGTACAGTCATTTAAAACTGGGCAAAGTATTAATTTTGAATACTTGGTTGGGAAAAAAATTACTTTTCCCTCTGTACTAGAGGATTCAGGATTACATAATAATAAGAAAATTAAAAACATATTAAAATTTGTAGCAACAGGAGTTAAAAGACCGTCACATGATCTAGATTTTCTCGATTTTTTTATAAACGCCTGTAATTTTTAAAATATATAGCAAAGATTTTTTTTATATTTTTCTGTTAACTATTATGACTTGACCACTATTATCACCTTATTTCAGTTTAACGTCGGCATCTGGGACAACCTGTATAACAGATGCTTCGTTGGTCTAGTGGCCATAAGCGCGAGTGTGATCATGTAGTCTTTGGGTTCAAGTCCTGTGTCTAACAAAATCGGTGATTTTTCTGTCAGGAATTTTCATTAGCAGTCCGAAGTCTGGAAGTAAATTGTGTTTTATCTCTGTCCGAAAGTGTGTAAAGATATTGTTCCTGCGTTTGATCCGCCTTTTCGTCGTGTGATTGCTGTCCCATCGGACGAAAACAACGAGTGAATATAGAGTGCACGTATGCTTCAGTACACACCCGTGGTCTATAATTCTTATTTGCATGGATGACTAGTTTCCGTTGAGATTGGCTGGCGTGATCAAAATTTGGTTTTCGGTCTTTTGGGAAGCTATATTATACAGTACTTTTTTATCTCAACTACATGTTAGCTGTCCTGCACAAACCTCTTAGACACAACAAAATTTTAAATCTCCCGTTTGCATCTTCAAATTATAGGCAAAATACATTTATATGGCGAGCGAGCAATAATTTCAATAAGCTAGCGAATGAGTTTGACTTCGATTTGTTTAACACTAGTGCTGCGTCAGCTAGGCGCATGCTTAATAATGCATTTTTGGTAGCTCTAAGTAAGATTTACTTTTATATTTGTGTTTATTTTTCGGTTAAAAATAGCTTGTAGTGTTATTGACTGTCCTAAGTATGAGTTGATTGCCTTTTATATGTATAATACAAGTTTAGCCCTCATTTGGCATAAATATGTTGTATTGGATACTTTCGAGTATTAAATCGTGTTTATCATTGTTGTAAATTCACCTTTGTATCTATTAGTGAGGATCTTTAATTGGCTTACTGTTGTTATTAGTACTATCTATCCTAATTATGATAGCTGTTGGTCTTCCAAATAAAATAAAATAAAATAAAAATAAAAGTAGAAAACACAAGAAGCTGTATTAAGTAAATATAAAATATACCAAATTAATGACTAAAGAAGATTGACTACGTTTGTACACGAAGCAGATTTATTTTAGCAAAACAATTTTTTGTAAGATCTTTGAATGAGAAAGATTTTTGAACGACTATTTTTCTACCTAGGAGTCTGTTTGAGTAGGTATTTTGTAATCTATTTTTGTCTTTTACATTTTTGTGTTCTGATGTAAAAGGCTTACAGAACTAATATAATTACAAGATGTGAAGTATTTCATCTTAGTTCGCCAAGGTGACAACGCATTTGTAGTTTTTTTCGTTTGATGTTAGCTACATGTGTTCATGGACGCAGTAGCTGCTTACGATCAGGTGGACTTTATGTTCGTTACTCCTAGCCTAGCAAATGATACAAGCGAGAATGTAAGAGATAGTTAATTAGTGTAAGGGTAAGGCAAGGGGTATGGGGGTACTGTTTGTGTGTGTGTGTGTGTGTGTATGTGTATGTGTGTGTGTGTGTGTGTGTGTGTGCGTGTGTACGTGCGTGCGTGCACTCGCCTTGGAAGCGCGCGTAGCCGAGCGCCTCGCCGCGGAAGGAGGTGACGACGTCGACGCCGTACACCAGGATGGGTCGCCGCGTGACGTGCGCCAGCGCGAACACGTGCACCTGCACACGTACACGTTGCAGTACAAGAACATCTGGCGACACCACCCCCCCAAAACCCCCACCCCATCACACGCACCTGGTGAAGCGGCGTGCCGGCGCGCGCGGCGGCAGCAAGCAGGCGCGCCCACTCAGCGCGCAGCTGCGCCTCCTCGGGCGCGTACTGCAACAGCGACGCTTGCCACCGCTCCCACGCCTGCCAGCGCTCGTAAAACCTGCCACCCACAACACTCAACAAATATGTTCCATAGAAGATAGGATATGAGCAAACAAGCATGCGGCAAAAATTGCCGGTGCTTTGCCGGTCTTTAAAAAATTTTTTCTTTTTTCTTGAAGTCAGTTAAGCCGTATCGGTCCGGAAAAATCACCGGTGGTAAACGACTCCAGAAAGAAAGTAAACTCCTATTAAAGCGCACAATGGCGGACCGTCAAGCATCTAGAGGAAATGGAAGGTATCGTGAGTTATTTTGCAATATACATTGATCAAGTTCGGTGACTGGAATTAATCCCAACAATTCATCAGAGTACTAGCCGTGGATGGTACAAACGCAGTTTTTTTGTTATCAAATTGGTGTTATCTGGAATGGCTCTAATATATCCTACTTAAGAACTATTTATGTAACCACATGAACGCAATAAAATGTTTGAGTTTGGAAGATGCTGCTGCCCATTTCCTGCCTGTGTCTCTCTCTCTGTCGCCCACAAGAAGATATGGGGTAGCGGATATTCTTAACCGCCACTACAGGGTAAGGCTTAAAGTCCTTCAGAGGCTCTTTAATTCCGTCCTCCATGGTTGCACTACTCCGGAGGCGTGGAGCAGAAGTGCAGTGGTCTTGTTCTTCAAGAAAGGTGACAACGCCCTTTTGAAGAACTACAGACCGATATCCCTTCTAAGCCGCGTCTATGTGCTGTTTTCGAGAGTCATTACGAATCGTCTCGAACGCAGACTCGACGACTTCCAGCCTCCCGAACAAGCCGGTTTCCGAAAAGGCTTCAGTACCATAGACCGCATACATACCCTTCGGCAAATTGTACAGAAGTCCGAAGAGTACAAACTGCCACTTTGCCTGGCGTATGTGGACTATGAGAAAGCCTTTGATTCCGTCGAAATTTGGGTGCTGCTATAGTCTTTTCAGCGGTGCCAAGTTGACTGTCGGTATATTGAAGTGCTGAAGTGTTTGTACAGTAGGGCTACGATGGCTATCCGAGTACAGAACCAGAGTACGAAACCTATCCAACTGCGGAGAGGTGTAAAACAGGGTGACGTTATTTCCCCGAAACTCTTCACCGCTGCATTGGAAGACGTTTTCAAGCTACTGGACTGGAAAGGATACGGTATTAACATCAATGGCGAGTACATCACTCACCTTCGATTTGCCGACGATATAGTCCTTATGGCAGAATCGCTGGAGGACTTAAGCACTATGCTCAATGACCTCAATAGTGCCTCCCAACGGATAGGTCTTAAGATGAACATGGACAAAACAAAGATCATGTTTAATGTCCTTGTGACACCTATGCCGGTAGTTGTTGGGAGCACTAAGCTCGAAGTTGTTGACGAGTACGTTTACCTTGGACAAATAGTCCGACTAGGTAAGTCCAACTTCGACCGAGAGGTCAATCGCCGGATTCAACTTGGCTGGGCAGCGTTCAGGAAATTACGACGCATCTTCTCGTCAGGTATACCTCAAAACCTGAGTTTGTTCAACCAGTGCGTGTTGCCGGTGATGACTTATGGATCTGAGACGTTGTCCTACACTGCTTCTCGTATGAGGACGCTCAAAGTCGCTCAGCTAGCTATGGAGAGCGCTATGCTCGGGGATTCTCTGAGTGATAAACTTAGAAATGAGGACATCGGCAGTAGAACCAGAGTGACCGACATAGCCCATCGGATTAGTAAGCTGAAGTGGCAATGGGCCGGCCATATAGCTCGAAGAACCAACAACCGTTGGGGAAGAAGGGTTCTCGAGTGGCAGCCTCGTACCGGTAGGCGAAGCATAGGGCGACCCCCCACTAGATGGAGTGACGACCTGGTAAGACATGCAGGAAGTCAATGGATGCAGGTGGCTCAGGACCGTGCTTTGTGGCATACCTTGGGGGAGGCCTATGTTCAGCAGTGGACTTGTGAAGGGCTGTAATGATGATGATGATGATAATGATGACAGGGCAAGGGAGATAAAGTCAACTTAATATGGGCTTACTCCTGCATTACATGTACTAATGAAGCTGGCTTAGGCGAACTTTGTATGGAATGGTTTAACAACATACATGTAGGACATTTCCACGTTGTTTGTCTTTCACCCAGTTTAAACTGGGGTTATTCTGCTTCAGTTAGTTAAGTTATTGTATGAAATTCATAACCCCAAATGTCAAAAATCTAAATACCAATGTAATTTTAAATGAAGAGCAGCTAAGTGTCGTCGATAACACCATTTTTCTTGGAATCACAAGGCGCGAAGCATCAATGGGGCTATATATATCAATACTAGTAACCAAACTTAATTCAACAGCATATGCTGTAATAAAGATTAGAAATCTTACCAGTGTTGAAACAGCTAGACTTACTTACTTCAGCTATTTCCATGCATAATGCTGTATGGTATTTTGCTATGGGGACACGGACACGCGACTGATACGGAAATTATATTTGTTTTACAGAAGATTGTAATGTCGGGAGGTTCGTGGGGATAAATAATGCGTCTACTGGTCTTGAATGTGGGTTTATTACTAACTCCAAATGTCTATTAGGCTATCATATATATAGCTACATGAGCCTACACTAAACACACACTACTCGCCCATCGGCAAAAAAGAAAAAAAATTGAATTACAAAAATTTTTTTTCAATAAAACAAAACTTGGTGTAAGATTCAAAAAAAATATTAATTATTTAAAAATATTAAAATTCCTATATCAAACTTATAACATAATAAAATAAAAATAAAATATCGTAAACACTGTAATTTGAAAAAAAAAATAACTTTCTATCTCTTTATTTAAATTTATTAAACTATCATCAAATTTAAGTCTAATCTAAGTTTTTGTTTTAAATTGCTTTTAGGTTGCCTATCATAACTGCATAACATTTAAAATTTTCATATATAACTATTAATTCACTAGACACGAAAATACAGTTAAAAAAATAAAGTTATCAAAATTATTATAAGGCGTATATAAGGTTGTTTACAATATTATTATTTTCTTAAACTTAAACTATATTTTTAAATTTAAACCTTAATAAACTTTAAAGGTAAAAAGCCAATTCCATTAAAATAGTAAGTATCCTTATTTTTAAGTAGATAAACTTCAACATACTTATTTAAATCACACTGTAGAGTGCGTATATAAACATTACTAGCACTATGCTTACATAAGGGCCCTACTAAATCTAAATAAACTATATCAAAAGCGGAATATACCATATCGGTTATAACCATTGGTTCCTTTATATATTTATTTAAGTGTTTATATCGCAAACACTTGTCACATCGATTTACATAATTAGGTAACGTTACTAATTATGTCTCTAACTCCGGTCAAAAGAATCTTTTCTTTGTATTGTTTATCATTCGCTTATACGCGCGTGACCGTTAGTTGGCGAAATATGATAGTCGGTTAATATTACATGTTTTGTCTCACGGCGGTTCTAGTGCAACATAATCATAACAGGGATCAAATACAACTAACAATCTCAGCCGCGTAAGCGGTTTGTGACACCTTTGTTTTAATTTCTAAGTATGTTCATGGGAACGTTTTTTCGATTACGTTGTATAACGGTACCTAGTTTTAACCATGCCTTAAAACGATATCGTATATAAAATGAATTTAACTTTCCCAATGGTTTGTACCTCTAATTATAAATTGTTACATTCAATTTTAAATTCATTTTGTAAAAGTATTATACTTTTACATAGGTACATTAACAAAAAATCATTAATTAAGTTATTTATAATTTCGAAAACTCATTCTTTCATGACATGAAATTTATATAAAAAAAAAGAAAACACTACTAGGTACACAGCTTAAGTTTGTTTTACGAAATATTTATTAACTTTGAAAAAGGCAATTTTATTTCAAACAGATAACATCATTTTGGCTCCGTTGTCATTTCTAAAGAAAAAACGTAAAAAGAATACTATTACATTAATAAATTTATAATAATAGTGTATCGATATACTCTGGACTTTATTTTATAAGCAAAATATAAATCAAATATAGTTTAAATGTACAAATTTTACATAAAAAACATATGACAGAAAGAAATACAAGTAGAGTTATTGTAAATATGAATTAATGTGTCTAAATATGAAAAAAAAATCTCGCAAATTCATAAACAAACACAACACATTTTCGCGCAGTTGTGTAAATCGATCCCTATAGTTATTACATGTGTAACTTGTTAGTGGCATTTTCGGTAGCATTTAGTAGTCTTAATACAAAAATGCAAAATCAATTCCTATCTCACCTTCAGATTATCATACCATCACATATCATCATATATTTATCACACTTTTTGATTTGCTCGAGGATCCCCTTATTATCCTGTATTGTCATCAATTATTAGGCCTTTTTTCCATAATTCTTGTACGTACTTTCATTTTTTCTTCTTAATATTTTTGACCTTTAGCTAGCTCTATTTCTCTCTATTCACTTATATATTTATTTATTTATTAGATACCGGGAATCAGAGTATTAATTCATTTCATTTATATTTTATTTCGTGATTTTTATCACGCGGGTACTGTATAAATATGGGCCCCCCATTTATTTGGGTAATAAATTACATTTTCGTAACATTCATTTCATTTCATTGGTATATAAACTTTTTATCGTAATTATATCAAGGTAAAGGTGTACCTTGGGTTGTGCGCACAACCTTGAGGTCTACGTTTAAGTCATTTTAAAAGGACTCCAACAATTGTCACGGAGGAAAACTAAGTTCACACTGTGATCCAATGAAGGATGTGACCTCAATGTACCGTTATTAAGGGTAACAAATTTAAGACTTCTCTGGTCCCTAACAGTACTAATATGTGTAAACTCATGTACATCACTTGTACTGAAGGTACTATTCCCTAGTACCCATTACGCCCGATTTTATCATCCAATCACGGAAACATACCCTGCTCGACGAGTATATGTTATACCAGTGTGGACGTTCCCGTATCTCTCCATTACCTATTTATTAAGGTCAATTATTTTCTTTTATATTTATTCCTTTTATGCTTTCATAATTCTCACTATTAACAGAATCAATACTACTAGTTTAAGCATCATCAAATATTTGGGTGATCAGTCCAATATTGACGATACTTAACCACTCAATCATTCGTATTCCCATTTTTGAACATTTCTTTCTTTCATACTCGCATTGATATAAAATAAATTCTCGCATCTCGGAGGTATACTCAAACAATTATTATTTCCCAAAATACCCATATGTAATGGTAAAGTTACTAATTCATTCATATTATGCAGTGTAATATTATTCAATTCAAAATTTATGCTACAATTAAACTTACGTAAAAAATCTATACCTAAAATTCCAGAAGTTTCACACGGCAACTGCTTTATAACATGAAACTTATTATTAAATTTTCTGCCCGTCAACAGACAATGTTAAATCAACAAATCCCACGGTTCGTAATTTGCCTCCAATTCCGTTTATTGTAATCGGTTTATTTTGTAATGAAATGTTTAGTTTACTAAGCGTGTCATATTTAATCCCACATACGGAAGCGCCGGTATCTACGAGCCATCTACATTTGATATCATCTATTGCTAACTCAACACAATTACTATATTCGCAACTAAATATACTATTGGTCCCGAAAAAATTCTAGATTATTTTCATTATTATCGTTATTAGGGTTAATTTCAATATCTCTCCTCATCCTTTGCAACTCCAATTGTTTCTTTTAACGTACTATAATTACGTGTGACAATAATTACGTACTGAGTTATCGATTTCGCAAGCCATTTGTGAAACTTTTAATAGCGATCTTTTCATTTATAGGACGTAAAATTTTTATGCGCGTTTTGGTCACCATCGGCTTGGGAAATCGTCAAATCTACGAATAATTGTTCGATTTTATTGCCATAATTATCTAGGGAACTACTATTTTGTCTTATTTGCATTAGTTCGTCATGAATGGAACAGTGATTTAATAAATTTGACATAAAAACAGAAAAAAAATGATAATTGGATGTAACATTTATAACTTATAGTACATAATGATTGACAAATTAATGATTATATTACCAAGTATATGACATTGAGCAATAATAATAATCTAAAGTTGGTATTTCCTTTGACGCTGTTACACAATTAATTAGACAGTTACCATATCAATTAATAAAATATTAAATAATTTATATGTTGTTAAAATTTCGATAATAATTGTCATAGTTACTTGTCCATTAAAATATACACATTACTATGGTAGAATATGTAGAACTAAATTATACTTAAACACCATTGTTTAACCATATTGTTGCAAAAAAAAAATATTAATATTATCATAAAATTACCGAAGGTATAATACATAATTTTGAATTTTTCTATTAATAGTACTAATATTTTTCCTACTTTTTAATGAATGATTTAAAATTTTTCTTTTCCCAGTTCTGTGTATAACATTATGTAAGTAATAATATAATTTGACAATAGACATCGACACCATTATTATATAATTAAACTTACATTCGGTGCTTTCGAGACGTCTTGTACCTGCTACAGAACTTGGCTAGTCGCTCGTTGTACCCCTGACTTCTTTCTGCTGCTCTGGCACTCGAAGATGTTCTTAGCTCACCGATGTGGTTGGGTCTAGACTTCCTCGTAAGCTTCTTTTTTCTTAACTTCATTCGTATTTACTTTTGATAAAGTTGGTACTCGCCTCTTTAAGGAATTTTGATTAAGAAGTTTTCTGTACATTTTGGAATCTTCTTTCTTGAAACTTGTCAATCTTGATTTAATAGCAATGTTAGTAGATTCTCTTGTATATTTTATTTTTAATGTCTTTTCTTCATTTCTTCTATAACATTTTTTCTTTAAGTATATTATCGGCTTCGTATGTCAAAAAAAAAAATAGTCTTCTTATATTCGTATTTAAAATATTATTTGTCACGTCCGGTATTATGTTCATTTTATTATAATATTATTTTCATATATTTATTTTTATGTATATATGTTCTTCAATAAATTACTTTTTTTCTAATGCAGGTCCCGGCGGTGCGCTTGCATTGTAGCAGCGCACCGCCTGGCGGGGTCGCCATGTAATGTCGGGAGGTTCGTGGGGATAAATAATGCGTCTACTGGTCTTGAATGTGGATTTATTACTAACTCTAAATGTCTATTAGGCTATCATATATATAGCTACATGAGCCCTAAACACACACTACAAGATTAATGATTTAAAATCTAGTCACACAGACAAAAATTAAAGGAAATTAATATAACTACTTTTGCTTCTCAATACATTTATGACAACGTAATGCATGTACACAAAAATAAAAGCAGTTTTACAAAAATAAGTGATGAACAGACACAAGCTAATAGTACCAGTTAGTAGAATCCACAGTCAGTAAGCGTTCTCTTTTACAACAAAATCCCAAAAAAAATTATATAATTTAACCTGCTCAAAGTTCAAAAATTTATTAAACTATGTTTGTATAAAAAGGGTTATTATAATATTAATGTATTAATGTATGATATTAACCCCTGGTGTTCAAGCACGATTGTTACACTTCCATCGCGCGTCTCGATTGGGGTGAGGAAACGGTTAGCGTTGCGCGGGAGGCGGGGGCTTGCTGGGCCGCACGCGCACAGCAAGCGCCCCAGTCGGCAGGAACTTTGGAGGACTACAGCCGTGCCGGTTTGACGTCGGGCGTTACATAATAGTTTGCGTCGAACGTCGCGAGCCTCTTACAGTGTTATCTTAATTTGTTTTCGTGATAACGAGGCCGGAATAATATAATTATTGTTGTAACCGTTTTAAGTATTGTTTGTGACTGGTATACGGTTGCGGGCGGCCGGTGTTTTGATTGAAGGCCTAAAATCTGAGATAATTGTGCCCGCCATTTTGAATTTACTATTGAATATTTGGGTCTAGTCTAGACCGCCTCGAATTTAGTTGTCTGTTTTGAATGTGTTACGTGAAAAAGGCCTAATTGAATTTGAAGTTAATTAAATGTACAATAAAGTTGATAAACTAATATAGTGAAATAGAAGCAGAAGTTTCAATTGGTGAACGCCCCCCTGGAGGGATCCCACATTTGGAGAGAGGCAGCGCCTTGGGATCTGCAGTCCAGGATCAGCGGGGATGTCAGGTTACACATTGTACACATTACCACACACTACTTACATGCACATCAACTATCCCCTGACAGGTACCCCATGGTCAACCCTACCTCCGCAATCGGTAAGTGGTGCTTGCTACTTTATCAGCCGTTTTCGGAATCGTTATCCATAGGCCATTGGGCTCCGCCCTTGGTTGCTCGTCGAGGGGACCACTCATGGTCCCTGGTCCCGTCGATCTTTGTTGGGGCAACCGCCACCAAGCAATTTATAATTTGTTTTGTGTTGTTAATAGTGTAACATATATATGATAGGAAGCTGTTTTTTTTAAAGTCCCGCTGGGTTTCATGCTGGTTCTTCCATAGACAGAGTTTTCATAATGATTCTACACGTTAAATGAAACAATTTATTACGGATTTTATCGCGTTTAATTTAACTTTTTAATTCTCGATGTTCTAGGTGCCGTAAAGCACCCATCGTAACGAGGGCACTAAGGTTTTTGACGTCCCGATGTCATAGTTAGCCCGGCTACCTTCAGTTTTTGACATTAATTTTTGGTCCGATCTACGCAGAATGAGCCTACAGTATCTTGAAGTCTTGCACTTGGGTTTGGATTTAATTTAATAATTATAGAATTCTAAGCATATGTTCACAGACTGCAGACTTGTTGGAACGCAGATGTGACCGTCTCCGCCATTACATTAGACGTGTTAGTATCAAGTGACCCATTGTAAAACTAAATTGATTTTATATAACTATATAATGAATTTTAGATAATGAAGGAGGAGAAGCCTGTGCTGATAAAAAGCCTTATTATTCCTTTGTTGTCCTTGTGGTCTAAACTCAGGTCAGAACGACATAAACTAACTTTAAACTTATTTACATATTGATGAAATATTACGGTAGATACTATCACACCGTTACCCTTGCCGTTACATTCTGTCAAAAGTCTAATGGTGAACATAGGCCTCACACATATAATTGCTTACTCCCACACTTGGCAGGCGACTTGGCAACCGTAGTTTTTTACTCTTTAGTTGTTAATAAGAAGACGCCGCTGCTCATCCCGAGGTTTATTTCCTTCTGTCGCCTCTTCCGACACTTACAGCACCACATGTGATGGACATTCTTGCACCGACACACACGGTACAAGCCGAGGTAAAGTGTAACATACCCCCTATGCGCATGGTGTAGCGAGTCCGCCAGGGCTTGCCGCAAAGCGTTCCCGCGGTCGAATACACCATAAGCGGCTTGACAAACAGCATCGGGAAGACAATCACCCGCAGATCGATTCCAAAGCGCGTACAGTCGCGACCCTGAAATTAAGTGAACCAGCGCATTTCAAGAGGCGGTACTTTGCTTCTTTTCAACAACTGCCCCAGAAGTAGCGTAATATTTTTCGAGACTATGTATGAGAGTGTATGTATATCAAAAGCTATTTAGACAGTAAAAGGCATGGACATATAAACACCCTAAAATTGAGGTGTGGCTAAGTCGCGGACATGGCCGTGTGTTTTACGTGAACACGTGTACGTAACGGGTAAATATGTTCTTTGAGTGAAACATATCGTATGTCATAATCATTTTTGAACACTAAGAAGTCCTTCGGATGATTTATTTGTGATGACATTTTCCTTTCGGCGCGCCGGGTTCAGGAATTAAACCGAATAAACTAATAATTATGTGTTATAACTTTATTAATGATAGGTCTGTGAGAGGAAAGTACGAAATCAATGGCATAAATGTCCACAAAATGGAAAAAATTCAACCTTTTATATAGACAAACGGACATATAAAAGAAGAATAATGGAACATGTACTTGTAGACCGACTTAGTGTGACAGTGATCTCGTGGCTCCGGTTGATGAGCGGCGGCCCCGCCTCCAGCGTCTGCTGCGCGTCGCGGTACAGCAGCTAGCAGAACAGACAAGTGGAACATGTACTTGTAGACCGACCTAGTGTGACAGTGATCTCGTGGCTTCAGTTGATGAGTGGCGGCTCCGCCTCCAGCGTCCGCTGCGCGTCGCGGTCCAGCAGCTCGCAGAACAGACAAGTGGAACATGTACTTGTAGACCGACCTAGTGTGACAGTGATCTCGTGGCTCCGGTTGATGAGTGGCGGCTCCGCCTCCAGCGTCTGCTGCGCGTCGCGGTCCAGCAGCTCGCAGAACAGACAAGTGGAACATGTACTTGTAGACCGACCTAGTGTGAGAGTGATCTCGTGGCTCCAGTTGATGAGTGGCGGCTCCGCCTCCAGCGTCTGCTGCGCGTCGCGGTCCAGCAGCTAGCAGAACAGACAAGTGGAACATGTACTTGTAGACCGACCTAGTGTGACAGTGATCTCGTGGCTCCAGTTGATGAGTGGCGGCTCCGCCTCCAGCGTCTGCTGCGCGTCGCGGTCCAGCAGCTCGCAAAATAGCTGCTCCTGAATGGCCGCCGGCAACTCTTCTATCTCTGTGCAAACACACCAGCCTTTCAAATCTAATGCAGAAGCGTTCATTTGGAGTCATTCTATATTCATAAGTAACCTAACAAAAATGTGAAGATACGTATTTAGATTTCTTGAAAAAAAGGTCTGACTTGGTCCAGGCAATCGATTTTCAAAACCCCCGCATAATAACAATCCCCAACCAATTTTAAATTCCCCGTAATTTGGGGAATTTCCCACATGTTGGCAACGCTGAGCAGGTGTAAATTGCGAGGCGACACGAGTCGGCCGAGAGGCGGCAGCGCGTGTGTGAAAGGGAAAGGTAGAGTGAGTGTGAATACAGTTTGTTTCACACCAAGCTAGATAAAAAGAGTTCAGCGTCCGCGCGTTTTTTGACCCCATAATCAGCTGATTTCAGTTTTATTTTCACTGCTGGTTTTATGTTTAAGGTGAAACCTATGGACTGTTCCCAGCCATTCTCCCGCAAGATGGCGCTGAAGTCAAAATTTTTAGTTTATTTATATTTTTGTGTAATTGGAAAATTATTAAGTCGTAGGAATAGACTTAGCGGTTATCGGATATTACATTTTATTGGAATGGGTCATATCATTGCCTCAAAATCCACCCGATTCGACATTAATTTTGATTATAACATGTCATTAAATATAGGGTCGTTTACACACACAGACGTATCCCTACGTTTACGAAGCTAGAACACTAGATGGCGTGTATGAAAACTATATGAAAAAAAAACAAGTTTTAAATTTTTGTGTATGTGTAGATTGGGTAGGCAGAACTACAAAACGCTATGTACGATTGTTATAAAAATAAAATTTATATTTGTTGGCGTAAACTATTTAATTGATTTATAACTTTGGGAAATAAATTATGTCAACATTGATTACAATATAGATTTATTTTATTACATTACATTATTGAAATTAAGAAGTATACCTATTTGAAGCAACATAATTATACTGATACATGCCTATTCACTCAAAACTAATAACACTGATGATTTGTAACAGTACTAATTATTACAATAGACATTTCATAACCAACACGTAAGAAACTATAATTCACAAACAAGAGATAACAACAAATCTATAACACGATTTATTTTGTGATAATAACCAGGAAGTTTGAAAATAATATTTCCTAATTTCGAAGCACTCAACAAAAGCTTTTAGTAAAACAAAAATATAAATCCTATTTCATTCATTCATTCATTACAGCCCTTCACAAGTCCACTGCTGAACATAGGCCTCCCCCAAGTAATGCCACAAAGCACGGTCCTGAGCCACCTGCATCCATCGACTTTCTGCATATCTTACCAGGTCGTCACTCCATCTAGTGGGGGGTCGCCCTATGCTTCGCCTACCGGTACGAGGCTGCCACTCGAGAACCTTTCTTCCCCATCGGTTATCGGTTCTTCGAGCTATATGGCCGGCCCATTGCCACTTCAGCTTACTAATCCGTTGGGCTATGTCGGTCACTCTGGTTTTACTGCGGATATCCTCATTTCTGAGTCTATCACGCAGAGAAACTCCGAGCATAGCCCTCTCCATAGCTCGCTGAGCGACCTTGAGCGTCCTCATACGGCCAGCAGTGAAGGACCACGTCTCAGATCCGTAAGTCATCACTGGCAACACGCACTGGTTGTACAATCTAGTTTTTAGAGATTGAGGTATACCTGACGAGAAGATATGTCGTAATTTCCCGAACGCTGCCCAGCCGAGTTGAATCCGTCGATTGACCTCTCGGTCGAAGTTGGACTTACCTAGTCGGACTATTTGTCCCAGGTAAACGTACTCGTCAACAACTTAAATCCTATACCTACGAGCAATTCTTGTGTATATATATATATATATATACATACATACAGGGTGTTAGTGTAAACACCGTTGTCCTTGAAACCAGTGGTTTGGTTTAACTTATAGAAAGTAATTTCAATGAAAAATAACAATATTTTTTTTAGTCAAATCTCAATTTTTTTCTTACAATTATTTCACCCTAGGCAAGTAAGGATATACCTACAGAATTCACAACAAAAAAACTCAACATATCGTAGGTAGCGGCAGCGATTCGCGGTCAAGGCCAATGTCACTGTGTCAGTGCGTCAGTCCTTCGCTGCCTCGGAACGGAATGTACGTGTTAATTTTGTTCACACTGTTGTGCTTCTAGCTTTTACGATTAATGTAAAAGCTGATCAAAATGGAATTCATTTACGAGGATTTTATTTAATAGGAAAGTGTAAATAACCAATCAATCAGGCTACACATCAAGCTATACAAATCCTTTTTTTTTTTTTTTATAGAAGAGGGGGGCAAACGAGCATGTGGCTCACCTGATGTTAAGTGACTACCGCCGCCCATGATCAACTGCAACACCAGGGGAATTGCAGGTGCGTTGCCGGCCCTTTAGAAAGGAGTAAGCTCTTTTCTTGAAGGTCCCCAGGTCGTATCGGTCCGGAAAAATCGCTGGTGGTAAATTATTCCACAGAGAGGTTGTACGCGGAAGAAAACTCCTTTTGAAACGTACAGTGGTGGACCGCCAAGCATCCAGATGGTGTGGATGGTATCGGGACGTTTGCCGCGTAGTGCGTTCACGAAATTTGGCGGCTGGGATTAATCCGAACAATTCCTCAGAGCACTCTCCATGGTATATGCGAAAGAAAATGCAAAGGGATGCAACATCTCTTCGCAGTGCCAGAGAATCGAGCCGATCGGAAAGCACTCGGTCGTCGACGATTCGAGCCGCTCTGCGCTGGATGTGGTCAAGTGGAAGGAGCTGGTACTGGGGAGCCCCAGCCCAGAGATGGGAACAGTATTCCATGTGCGGCCGAACCTGCGCCTTGTAAAGTTGCAGGCGGTGTGCCGGCATGAAATACTGTCCCGCTCTGCTGAGCACGCCAAGCTTTTTAGAGGCCAATTTGGCCTTCCCTTCCAAGTGACCACGAAACTGCACGTCACTCGATATGTCGACGCCGAGGATTCCGATACTGGCTGAGGCAACAAGGGGAGTGCCTTGAAACTGAGGGGATACGACAAAGGGTTTTTTTTTAGCGGTTAACGCGCAAACTTGTGTCTTCTGGGGGTTAAACTGGACTAGATTTAGTCGCCCCCAATCCGAGACTCTGTCCAGCAGAGACTCGACTTCAGACACAAGTTTGTCCCGGCACTCGGAGACGTTTTCCCGAGAAATATTGGCTCGGCCGGTGTAAAGAGCATCACCAGTGCTGTCATCTGCATAGCAATGAATGTTACGGGTCTGCAACATATCATTGATATGCAGAAGAAACAGCGTTGGCGATACCACGCAGCCCTGTGGAACACCAGCATTAATAGGCTTGCAATCGGAGCTTGCACCGTCTACAACGACCTTGATGCTCCGATCTGCAAGAAAACTGGTGATCCAATCGCACAATTTCTCGGGAAGCCCATAGGAAGGGAGCTTCGAAAGAAGCGCTTTGTGCCAAACCCGATCGAAGGCCTTCGCAATGTCCAAACTAACGGCCAATGCCTCCCCCTTGGACTCTACTGCCTCCGCCCATCTGTGAGTTAGGTAGACCAGAAGATCACCAGCTGACCTACCACGGCGAAAACCGTATTGGCGGTCACTAATCAGCTGGTGATCCTCAAGGTACCTCATGAGCTGGCAGTTTACAATGGACTCCATTGTTTTGGAGAACAAGGAGGTGATGGCGATAGGCCGGTAGTTGGACGGGTCTGAGCGGTCGCCTTTTTTAGGGATCGGGTGGACGAAAGCCGTCTTCCATGATTTTGGGACTACGCCTAGGGAGTAGGAGTACCGGAAAAAACGCGTTAAAACCGGTGCCAACTCTGGAGCACACGTCCTCAGCACAATTGGGGGGATTCCGTCAGGCCCACTCGACTTGTGGATGTCCAGGGAGAGGAGTGCTTTGCGAACCGAGCGCTGAGTGAACTGCACTTCCGGCATGGAGCACTCACACCGCGGGATGGTCGGCGGCGTACTCCCCCCGTCATCGAGAGTCGAGTTAGACGCAAAGAAAGAGCCTAGAAGATCGGCTTTCTCCTTTGCGGTGTGGGCCAGTGAGTCGTCCTCCCTGTGCAGAGATGGAAGAGATGGCTGACAGAAATTCCCCTGGACAGCCTTGGCGAGAGACCAGAATGTACGGGTTCCAGAAGGAAGACGAACTACTTTCTCGCCAATTCTGCCTATGTGCTCTGACTTTGCCTTGGCAATGACTCTTTTGAAGGACCTAGAGGCGGAATTATACTTCTTTTTTAGAGCGCTGGTGTTTACATCCCTGGACGCTGATGCGTCAGCCCAGGCCTGGTAGCACTCCTGCTTATAGCATGATGCTATTTTACAGGAGCGACCAAACCATGGCTGAGATTTGCCTCCAATGGGCACCACAGAGGAAGGAATAAAAAGTTCCATACCCTGAAGTACCACATCAGCGACAGAATCCGCAACAACGTTGGGATCGTCCGGCGAGAAGCAAACCCGCCCCCAAGGGTAGGATGCAAAGAAAGACCGCATCCCATCCCAATCGGCTGACCTATAGTGCCAAACACGGCGGCAGCCTGCAGAATGCAACCGCGATTTCAGCGTGAGTGGCACCACACTCCGGACAAGACAATGGTCCGAGGAGCCTAAAGGGGCGTCGACGGAAATCTGATATCCGTCCGGGTGAGAGGTCAGCAGAAGGTCCAACAGGGAAGGTGCATGATCCTCCACATCTGGAGTCCGCGTAGGCGAAGTAACCAGTTGTGTCAGACCATATGACAAGGCAAAATCATGAACAGATCTCCCCGCATGATCGGTTAAACGTGAACCGAGCCATTCGGCGTGATGGGCGTTAAAGTCGCCGAGGATCACGATCTCTGCGGAGGGGATCTGCTGTAGCAGAGATCGTGATCCTTTGTCTTGGCCTCGCTTTGTATGACCTTTCCGTACAATGAACGGTCAGCTTATGCTTCAAATGCCCTTTGCGTTCCAGGGCCGCGGTACGGTATACGGTAAATACGCCAAAAATCCT